TTCAGCGGCCACAGAACGGATATTTACCACATTTTCGTGGATACATACCAAGAAAAGGAATAGGCTGGATATTGTTTATAGGCCAATTTTGAAGTAACAGAAACAAACAAAGGCAACTATAAACGAACCCATCGAAGGAAGCACAGAAGATAGTGATGGTGTTTTTGCAGCATACCTTGGCAACTCACTATAATATGGTGTTAGATTTAGCGGGATACCGGCAGTGTCACTTTTGGTTATTCTGTGCCTATGATCACATACGAAGCGGCAGCCTGGTATAGAAAAAATCGACAGACTTCAGTTATCAATAAACTTTCACGAATTCAACGAGTACCTGGATTTTAAATCTCTGGTGCGATAACCACAATTCCAAGTCTAGCAATAAATGTTTTGCTTGGCCTATCTCCTTTGTATTTGCATATAGAGAAAGTGACCAGAACTACCATTTACAGGTTTAAGCAAAATACCCAAAACTACTCCGACATATCTAACTACAATAGGTTGGCTTGGATTTGGGGAAAAACCAAAATTCCAAAGGGTTATGGCCTGTACAGTAAACGATTTATGGTAAATCTCAGTACTATAGGTCGGGAACATAAGCAAAGAATCTAACTGAGATCTAGTGGGTAAAGGGGCTTATCCACGGTCAAGCATGCTCGTCATGCATGCTGTTCATGCCGTTTCTTATACCAAAGAAACCGTCTCATGCAGTCCCATCCATGGTCAATCTTGCATGATAGCTTGCGATGCTCGTCATGACAGGCCCCTTAAATCATGCGACGACAAGCGTTAAAATATACAGTACAAATACCCTGGTGTTTGATTGTGAAGAACAGAGTATATAACATAGTCAATATACGAAACGATCTACGGTTCTGACAGCTTAATATCTGTAAATAATTACGGTATGTAGTTATGTGTTGAGATCTCTCGAGATCAAAGATGTACTGTATACAGTTGTTTTGAAGTCTTTGCAGTTTGTTTCGGAGTGTAACAAAGATTACGACGGACCATTGGAGGAAGGAAGACTTTTTAGCGAATGGAAACAATGATAGACCTCTCAGCAGACGGATTGAATTTGAGGTTTCCAGGACATTGTGGAATCCATTATCACCCTAAGCTTTCTAACCGTATCTGATAGCTCAATAATGTCACCGTCAAGCATTAAGTGAATAGGTGAAAGATCATTAAGCTTTGCCAGTAAAGGTCGACTGCCAAACGCAATTGCTTGAGTTTTAGCAATATTTAATTTAAGGCCATAACGTTTAGACCAATCCAAAATATTAGAAAGATCATGATTAAGACGTGCAATTGCTTCCGGAAAATCATCAATAGTTGTCGTAGTATAAATTTGGAGGTCATCAGCATACACATGATAATTACAAGATTTGCAATGGGTGACGGCATTAATAAAAATTGAAAAGAGTAACGGACTAACACACTACCCTGGGGTACACCACATTTAATATCACATGCAGACGAAAGCGCAGAATCAGCACGCACACACAAGGAACGACAAGAAAGGTAAGATTGAAACCAAGATAAGCATGAAGAGGTAAATCCAAGGGCTGAAATCAATCAAGGATGGTAACACAACGTTTGTCGCATACATACCTAATATGATCTGTAATCTTAATAAGCACTGTTGTCGTGCTATGACCTTTACAAAAACCTGATTGAAACTCGTTGTGCAAATTAAATTCTTGTAAATAATCTTCAACTTGTAAGTAAACTTGAAGGACTCTTGGATTTAGGTACAGGGACAACATGAGTAACCTTCCAGATTGAAGGGAATGAGGATCGTTCAATGGAGAGGTTAAAAATGTGAGTAATAGGAGTAAGAACAATATCCAATACAGAAAGAAGAAATTTGAGACCAACTCCATCAGCTCCCACACTAGTAGACCTCGAGTGATCAAGGCATTGCGGATTTCTGATGCTGAGACCAGAACAAAGGAGAAAGAGGAGGATTTAGATGAGGCAATAATTTCAGTCTCAATCTCTGAAGATGTTCTGCGTGGCTGTCCCTTTGCATTTGCATATAGAGAAAGTGGCTAGAACTACCATTTACAGGTTTAAGCAAAATGCCCAAAACTGCTCCGACATATTCTACCAATGGGTTGGGTTCGCTTGGGCGGAAAACACTATAAACACTGATATTGTGCTATAAATGCCGTCAGATTTGCCAGAATCACTACCAGCGATTAATGCTCGATACCAGATTGTACTGCCTGAATGACAGTGCTGGATGGAAAAAATTCTCTGGTGGATCAAAAACGCCGGAAGGGGTCGGCAAGAGTATACTGTTACTTCGAATTAAGCAAGCCTAGGTAGTACTGTAGTACTGTACTGTATTCCAGGCAGAAGTATTTTCTATTGACATGAATGCAAAAATCCTTCTTGAGAGAGGGGTGAAGAACATAACAGTATGATTTTTCTCAGACAGTCAAGCCGCTCTCCAGGCGCTGCAGGACGTGAAAATGGTGTCGACTCTAATTAATTCTTTGATCTGGGTCTTAGGTCACTCTGGGGTTGCTGCCAATGAAGCGGCAGATCAGTTAGCACGAGAGGGCAAAGCTAAAGCGTTTGTGGGGCCAGAGCCAGTAGTTGGTATATCAATTGAGATGGCCAAACAGGATTGGACTGTAGATCAGTTCTCCTGGAATGAGACACGTTAAGTTGTTTATCAACCCCGTCACTATCAAATCCGCAAATATCGTTTGACTTGCTAGTAGCAGCGTTAAAGTTCTAATGGATGTCTTTACCGGGCACTGCTGATTAAAGACACACCTCAACTAAGTGCGGAGGACGAGAAGACGGTTGAGTATGTTTTATGCTACCGCTCTGCTGTTAATCGTATAAGATTCTCGATTTTTGGGTCGTAATTTATCTCCCTAAAGGGTCTGAAGGACTTTTCACCGAGCAAGGCATTAATGTTCGTTAAGAATTGAATATAATGTTATCTATCGCTGTAGAATAGATCTTTAGTTTCTAGTTCTCGATTTAGTGTCACTTCTAGTGATAGTGTTACTTTTAGTTATTATTCAAATGATAGAAATAAAGCTAATTTAGCACTTTAACAATGGAAATAGTAATTTCTGCCTTNTACTGGATGGCCGATGAGGAGAGGTGGTGTAGGCTATGCAGGGAGGAATGGGAAACGTTGGAACATATGTTGAATGGGTGCAGTGAGTTGAGGGAGGAGGAGTTGGACCGAGGGCAGATCTTAGGAGAGGGGGGAGAGGGGAAACGATGGATGAGAATGGTTGTGGGGGTATGGAGACAAAGGGACTGAAATCAATCAAGAATGGTAACACAACGTTTGTCGCATACATACCTAATATCATCTGTAATCTTAATAAGCGCTGTTGTCGTGCTATGACCTTTACGAAAACCCGATTGAAACTCGTTGTGCAAATTAAATTCTTGTAAATAATCTTGAACTTGTAAGTAAACAAGGCGCTCGAGAGGCCTTGTTTACGAAAATCATGTAAACTTGAAGGACTCTTGGATTTAGGTACAGGGACAACATGAGCAACCTTCCAGATTGAAGGGAATGAGGATCTTTCAATGGAGAAGTTAAAAATGTGAGTAATAGGAGTAAGAACAATATCCAATATAGGAAGAAGAAATTTGAGACCAACTCCATCAGCTCCCACGCTAGTAGACCTCGAGTGATCAAGGCATTGCGGATTTCTGATGCTGAGACCAGAACAAAGGAGAAAGAGGAGGATTAATAATTTCAGTCTCAATCTTTGAGGATGTTCTGCGTGGCTGTTCCTTTGCATTTGCATATAGAGAAAGTGGCTAGAACTACCATTTACAGGTTTAAGCAAAATGCCCAAAACTGCTCCGACATATTCTACCAATGGGTTGGGTTCGCTTGGGCGGAAAACACTATAAACACTGATATTGTGCTATAAATGCCGTCAGATTTGCCAGAATCACTACCAGCGATTAATGCTCGATACCAGATTGTACTGCCTGAATGACAGTGCTGGATGGAAAAAATTCTCTGGTGGATCAAAAACGCCGGAAGGGGTCGGCAAGAGTATACTGTTACTTCGAATTAAGCAAGCCTAGGTAGTACTGTAGTACTGTACTGTATTCCAGGCAGAAGTATTTTCTATTGACATGAATGCAAAAATCCTTCTTGAGAGAGGGGTGAAGAACATAACAGTATGATTTTTCTCAGACAGTCAAGCCGCTCTCCAGGCGCTGCAGGACGTGAAAATGGTGTCGACTCTAATTAATTCTTTGATCTGGGTCTCAGGTCACTCAGGGGTTGCTGCCAATGAAGCGGCAGATCAGTTAGCACGAGAGGGCTGAGCTAAAGCGTTTGTGGGGCCAGAGCCAGTAGTTGGTATATCAATTGAGATGGCCAAACAGGATTGGACTGTAGATCAGTTCTCCTGGAATGAGACACGTTAAGTTGTTTATCAACCCCGTCACTATCAAATCCGCAAATATCGTTTGACTTGCTAGTAGCAGCGTTAAAGTTCTAATGGATGTCTTTACCGGGCACTGCTGATTAAAGACACACCTCAACTAAGTGCGGAGGACGAGAAGACGGTTGAGTATGTTTTATGCTACCGCTCTGCTGTTAATCGTATAAGATTCTCGATTTTTGGGTCGTAATTTATCTCCCTAAAGGGTCTGAAGGACTTTTCACCGAGCAAGGCATTAATGTTCGTTAAGAATTGAATATAATGTTATCTATCGCTGTAGAATAGATCTTTAGTTTCTAGTTCTCGATTTAGTGTCACTTCTAGTGATTGTGTTACTTTTAATTATTATTCAAATGATAGAAATAAAGCTAATTTAGCACTTTAACAATGGAAATAGTAATTTCTGCCTTTACCGGTTTCGCCTTTGTGGCATCATCAGAGGCAGATAAATAAATTACTATTTCCATTGTTAAAGTGCTAAATTATTTTTATTTCTATCTAATGCAATGGTAAGCAAGAAGAATCCAAATATCTATTAAATGAATCTTTTACCTTCTCCTTTCCAAAGGTGCACTTTTCGTTCTTATCAATCTCCTTTTCGGTACATTTTCCTCATCATCATCAATTCCATTAATCGGCGATCGTTTTTCGTGAATCTGATAAACTCGCGCGACATTTGAAGCGTTCAAAAAAAGCGCGGTAGCCATCGATTTTCGTCTCTCCGGAAAACTGGCGGAAAAGCTTCTAATCGCATGTATCGTCGATTGCTGAAATGAAACTAATCAAAATTAATCAGCGTTAAAAAACGCTTAGTATTTGTTCGATTTATACAGCAAATTAAGTATTTTAAAGTTAAATTATTCGTTTAAATTTCCGTTTAAAACGTTTCCCAAGTTTAGAATCAAAGTCCAACAAAGTTTAAGTCTCTAAAACCGGTTAATTTCCGATGTTTAATTGAAGTCGAGAAGAGGAAATAGCCGTTTCGACTAAGCACGCTATTACGAATAAACGACGACCTTCGCTTCAAAAATGATTGTTTTAATAAAAAAAATTACCAGATTTTATGGTTTTTCTTAAAGAAAAGTTTCTTTCGTTATTATTTTCTTTAACCAAAGAAGTTTTTAATGGTGTTACATCTTCAACTTGTTTTTCTTGGCTTATTTCTTCATCCCCGGATTCTTCATTTTCACTAACTAAAGAAACCATCGTTTCAACCTCACTCACAGAAACGCATCGTTTCAATAAATTCCTTTTATTAACCAATTCATCGGTTAATTTAGGTTTAGCCGTTTTAACCCGTCTTTTTGTAGTGGGAAATTTCGGTTTGGTTTCGTTTTTGACGGGAACCGAAGATTGGCGAAGAAGCGGAGGTCGAAATTGATTTTCTTTTTTGGTTAATGAAGAAGAAGAAGAAGCAGATCGCGATCGTTTTTGATTAAAATCTTTTCCTAGATTTGAATTTGAATTCGAGTTGGTTTCGACGGATTCAATTTTTGATTCTTTTTGAGTTTTATTAGTGATGAGAGGAACTATTATTGTTGAGGAATTTTCGGTCCGAATTGGGGAGAAGGAACGATCTGAAAATGATTTATGATTTGTTATTTTTCGAATGTGTTTTTGAAAAACGTTTTTAACGTTATCGGTGTTGGTTATTTCGGGGTTAAGGGGTAATATAAGTTTGGGTTTTCTTTCGTAAGAAGAATCTGATAATTGATCGTCTTTTAATTCTTTCTGATTTTTATTAAGAAAGATTTTTAAATTTTGTTTCACGATTTTATTCGGTTCATTATCCAAAGATTTTTGTTTGGCGAAATTTTCCGACCATGCAACTTTAATCGGCGGCTTCGTCCCTTTGGCACTCAAAGATACTCGGATACTATTTGGTGGGGATTCAATTTCTTTTTTATTATTACTATTATTATTAAGATTGGCAGTTGTTTCGGTATAATCTTCCGAAAATTGCTTTTTTAGGCTCTTTCTTCGTTCAGGAACTTTCGAGGAATCATATTGAAAGGAAAATTGTCTTACTGGAGGCCGCTTTTTCATCGTTGCCATTATTAAGTTCTAAAATAAGTTTAAACACTAAAAAAATAACCCCAAAAAAATCCATACCTTAAATATCAATTTAATAACATCTTTGTGTTAATTTTATTTGTTGTTGATTAAGATTTTTTTGAAATTTGGATGATTCACGATACACAAATCACGGCATGGCACAAAGTCGAAAACAGTTCGACTTTGTCGTTTCGAGGCCAAAGTTGAACTGAGGCCCCGCGTAGCAGTGAATAAACTACCCTTCCAGTTCATTTTACTCATTTATTATTGATCAAAACTTTCCCTTCCTTTGTCTCTTTTATAAGAACGTATGGCATATAAGGAAGGTTTTAATTAAATTTTATTCTTTTTAGGGCAATTGTGAACGTTTAATCCCATCATGGCTGGTGAGGCGAAAAATTATGTATTCATGGAGCCTGTTCTACAAGAAATTAATAAAAATTTTGTTTCGCTCCCGGAAAATATGAAAAAGCAATATAATATCTATCAAGTTGTAAGTTAAATTGACTTTTACTTTTATCCCAAAATTATTCTTTAATACAGANATTATTAGTTACTAATTTACAAAATTAAAGTTTAAAAAGTTGTAAAATGAAATTAAGGACGAAGTGTTACAAGTTTACAGGTTAAAATTTAAAAAAGCTCTTTTTTAACAAAAGAAATATTAAGAAACTTGGGAAAAATTCAAGAATCATCATGTGGCTTAAAAATCGACGATTTTTTTTAATCATTGTAAAATGACCCAAAAAACAAGTTAAAAATAAAAAGAAAGTGCGGAAAAGTGACCAACACTAGATTAACTTCAGTTATAAAACTTCTGTTACATGATAACTAACTTCAGGTTGAAATGTCAACCTCAAATTTGAAATATTTTTAACCTTCATTAAAAATCCTTTAAAATGAGTACAAACACGACATATTTATCTTCAATACTAATGAAGTTATGGTCAACTTCCGGTTAAGAATGTCAACGTCAATTTTGACATATTTGTAATGGTCGTGAAAAATCCTTTAAAATGAGTCTAAACATGATATGTTTAATTCCAATATTACTCGAGATATAAGCAACTTCCGGTTTGAAATGTCAATATCATTTTGACATATTCTTAATTTTCATAAAATGACTTAATTTGTCACAAAGACAAAAATTAATAAAAAAAATAAAAAATTAAGGTTGGTATTAATATTTAAAAATTAAATTGTTATCTTCATTGTTGCTAACTTCGTGTTTAATGTTTTTTATTCTAATTTTTTTGTTTTTTGAGATAAATGCGTCATGATTGGACTCATTTTAAAGGTTTTTTAATAAAGAATACATCATATAAGAAGACCATGAAATTGTTCACTTATCTATTATATAATAACTAACTTCAAGTTTAAAATGTCAACCTCAATTTTGACATATTTGTAATATTCATTAAAAGTTCTTTAAAATGAGTACAAACACGACATATTTATCTTCAATATTAATGAAGTTATGGTCAACTTCCGGTTAAGAATGTCAACGTCAATTTTGACATATTTGTAATCGTCGTGAAAAATCCTTTAAAATGAGTCCAAACATGATACGTTTAATTCCAATATTACTCGAGATATAAGCAACTTCCGGTTTGAAATGTCAATGTCATTTTGACATATTCTTAATTTTTATAAAATGTCTTAATATTTGTCACAAAAACAAAAATATAATAAAAAAAAATAAAAAATTAAGGTTGGTATTAATATTTAAAAATTAAATTGCTATCTTCATTGTTGCTAACTTCGGGTTTAATGTTTTTTATTCTAACTTTTTTGTTTTTTGAGATAAGTGCGTCATCTTTGGACTCATTTTAAAGGTTTTTTTAATAAAGAATACATCATGTAAGAACACCATGAAGTTGTCCACTTGTCTATTATATGATAACTAACTTCAAGTTTAAAATGCCAACCTCAATTTTGACATATTTATAATCTTCATTAAAAATCCTTTAAAATGAGTACAAACACGATATATTTATCTTCAATATTAATGAAGTTACGGTCAACTTCTAGTTAAGAACGTCAACGTCAATTTTGACATATTTGTAATCGTCGTGAAAAATCCTTTAAAATGAGTCTAAACATCATACGTTTAAATCTAATATTACTCGAGATATAAGCAACTTCCGATTTGAAATGTCAATGTCATTTTGACATATTCTTAATTTTTATAAAATGTCTTAATATTTGTTACAAAAACAAATAAGTGCGTCATCTTTGGACTCATTTTAAAGGTTTTTTTAATAAAGAATACATCATGTAAGAACGCCATGAAATTGTTTACTTATCTATTATACAGCCTGATTCAGAGTAAGCGCCTTATTTTTTTTAGCCACACTGTGGATACTACTTTCAAAATATTTGGCAGTAATATGTTTTAGGACACTCTCTACACAATGGTGATATCATATTTTCAATTGGACGAATTATTTCAAAATGGCGACTGTCAACTTTTTTTTTTTTTAATGGAATGCCAAAATTTTTTTTTTCGGTAATTCTATAGAAACTATCATTTTTGCTGTTACCGGTAACAATTTCGACAAAAAATTACTTTCTACAAATATCGTATTGTTTCTAGAAAAGTATAGACCAGCTATATTGAGTTCTTAAAGAGTTAATGAAATCATACTTNATGATACGTTTAATTCCAATATTACTAGAGATATAAGCAACTTCCGGTTTGAAATGTCAATGTCATTTTGACATATTCTTAATTTTTATAAAATGTGTTAAAATTTGTCACAAAAACGAAAATATAATAAAAAAAATCAAAAATTAAGGTTGGTATTAATATTTAAAAATTAAATTGCTATCTTCATTGTTGCTAACTTCGTATTTAATATTTTTTATTCAAACTTTTTTGTTTTTTGAGATAAGTGCGTCATCTTTGGACTCATTTTAAAGGTTTTTTAATAAAGAATACATCATGTAAGAAGACCATGAAATTGTTCACTTATCTATTATATAATAACTAACTTCAGGTTTAAAATGTCAACCTCAATTTTGACATATTTGTCATCTTCATTAAAAATCCTTTGAAATGAATACAAACACGACATATTTATCTTCAATATTAATGAAGTTATGGTCAACTTCCGGTTAAGAATGTCAACGTCAATTTTGACATATTTGTAATCGTCGTGAAAAATCCTTTAAAGTGAATCCAAGCATGATACGTTTAATTCCAATATTACTGGAGATATAAGCAACTTCTGATTTGAAATGTCAATGTCATTTTGACATATTCTTAATTTTTATAAAATGTCTTAATATTTGTTACAAAAATTAATAAAAAAAAAATAAAAAATTAAGGTTGGTATTAACATTTAAAAATTAAATTGCTATCTTCATTGTTGCTAACTTCGTATTTAATGTTTTCTATTCTAACTTTTTGGTTTTTTGAGATAAATACGTCAAGTTTAGACTAACTTTAAAGGTTACGAAGGTCAAGATATTGACAACTGAAAGTTCTTTTCACGACTAAACCCGAATGTTTTCAGTTCTCGTTCTAGTTTTAGTTCAATAAAAATATACAACATAGTAACATCTTATGCTAACTAGTACTACTTACCACTGCCACTAGAACCAACACTAGACCAAGAATTAGAAACATTCGGATTTAGTCCCATGTCTCTCAAGACTGTTAAACCCGAATGATTCTAATTCTAGGTCTTGTGTTAGTTCTAGTTTTAGTGCAATAAAAATCGTGTCTAAGTCGGTTCTTAGACGTATGATGCAAATCGGACTTAAAATCGTATAACGTGATTGGCGCTTATCTTTATCCTTTAAAACAAATAGTATTTTAAGTCTTTCGGTATTCTGTATTTTTTCTAAGATAAGTTACACCTTTACCTACCAGACAGCATGAAAATCTCTAAAAACGATAAAATGTCGTTTAGTCAAGTGATGTATAACGCGGGTCCAATCAACAAAGCAAATTTTGTCGCTCGTTTTACTTCTCTCAATGGTGGACACTTCCATTTCTATACATAATAAGCTGTCCTCATCAGGACTTTATGACAAAGAATCTCTTCGGATTTACCAACTTTATATAGAAGGAATTAGCTTTGCTCTCGGATTTTTGAAAGATGTTGATATAATTATCAACTAGAGATAAGGTATCGACATATTATCATAATCATGGCTGCGCTACTATTTAACGCATATAACGAGATGAGGGCTGAGGGAGTTTCCGGTTAGCCAACACTGTCCTATTCGAGGTTGGAATGCAAATACTAATACTACGGTCTATCCCACGATCTAGATGGAACTTCAAGAAAGCGAATTGGTGGGTAATAATAAGATGGATACCGCCTGTAAGGGAAAACTACCATAGGTTCATGAAAGCATTTATAGCGACATCCCAAAAGAAAATGCCAAGAAAAAATACCAAATCTTGAGCTATATCTAGTCTACTTGGACTCTGGAGACTCAGCAATAGTCGATGAGTTACTTAAGCTTAATTGGTTTAAGAACACAACGAAGCTGCATCGATCAGGTGCTTAGCGGACTTTCAAAGATACCTTAAAACATCTGTAACGATATATCTTTAGCTGCAGAACTTGTCGTCAAAAGTTTAACATTCCTTAAAACTGTTTATATAAATAAAAAGGGTTTGCCAAAAATGCTACTTGAAATAAGAAATCGACCTCATTGTTCATCATGTTCCTTATTTACAAAGGAGATAACTTTGACCTCTTGGACAAACTCATTCGAGAATATACTTGCCACAGAACTACAAGAAAATGGATATTCAACAATCGCGAATATCTCACTTGTTATCAAAGATGGAGATGGATTTTATTATAAATAAAACATTATATGGGCAACTGTTTACGAAGAAGTCAGTGGCGTAGGTAGAATTTTTTTCCCATCTTTTATTTTCGAGATTTTAGAATTTTAGTGTTGCTATGGTGATAACCATACATACTATGATGGAACATAATGTATCAAATAATTGTCAAAGTTTATTAATTAGTATTATGTGCTGGTACGAAGCACCAGCATGTTAAGTGTCAAAGTATAACAAAACTGAATAAAACTTGACAATGAATTTCGAAAATTATGAAAAATGTAACATGATGGAATGCTATATGTTATCAGATAAGAATGCGACGTTAGCCGTGGAATTTTATTGCACAAGATAACCAGAAAGAAGACAACCGCACGTACGAACCTTCAGCCGGTCAGCAGAAAATGTAATAGATATTTGGTCCTTCCCCAAACCACATACAAAAACATACCAAAATGACCTGCAAGAGAAATTGCAACAAGACGTCTGACCCAAAAGTCG